CTCTACGCGTTCATGAGAATTAACTAATTAAGTATGTGAATTAAGTAACTTTAAAATTTTCAAAAATATTTTTCATTATATGATGTAACTAAAAATGTACGGTGTTCGCAATTTTTCCTTTATCTGTACTATAAGACGTATTCGTATTACTTCGAGTTTCGAAAATTTGCGGAAATTTGTGTAAGCGCCATTCCTTTAAAAAAACACCAATATTTATGTCGCTTCAGCGTTGTGAAAAAAAAAAATCTCAAAAAATTAAGTAGCTTAAGCGCTAAAAAAGTACTCAAATCTTCACGAATTATAAACAGATCGACGCAGAAAAAAAAATCTGATCCAAATAATATATAACTCATTTTCAACCAAACTGGCGTTCGAGAGATTTTGCCTTTCCCCTATCGATATAGATTCAACTCAATCATTCAATCTCTATCGAAGACTTACGCAGATTCTATTAGTTTCCCAAACGTATTCGAGACCCTTGGTCCGTGGGGTCCTAGCGCTGTAAGGATTTTTAAGGAAATAGCAAAGAGTTTAGTCGACATCACAGGAGACCGAAGAGCTGGCAGCTACCTCGGACAAAGAATTAGTCTAGCTATTCAAAGGGGGAACGCTGCCAGTATCTTCGGAACCTTGCCTAAAGGGACACCTTTTAATAATATATTTTAGTTATTCAATTATATTTTTAAAGTTTTTAGTTTTAGGTTCATTGTTCTAGTTTCCAAACAATTAGTTTGTTATTGTATGTAAGTTAAGTATATTGCGATGCGATGATTACGCGTGTATTTCATTTATCACGCGGAAGCGTATCGTCCGTTCCGATTTCGTTCCGCCTGCCCGTAATGCGCGCAGGTCGCACGCGAATAGGTCGCGCTCTCATCGGAAGTTATTAGTAGTTGATACCTCTACAGTACTTTTATATTTTGAATAAATTAAATTTATTAATAGACGCTGGCGCTTTCGATCTGCGATCTTGGAAAATAAATAAAACAAACGCAATGTCATATCACGCGTGTTCATAGGATAGGTACTGCTTCATGATCTCGTGCTTCTTCGTGCTTCGGTCCCAGCTGCATCTGTAGTCGTTAGCACCCACCAATCTGCACTGAGCCCCAGTATGGCCAACCCCCCCTTTTCCATCCACATGGAAGGCTTGTGCCACCGCAGTGAGGTCATTATTTGGCTGATGATGATGACAATGAACTCAAATCTCGTATAGAAAGATGCAAGCACCAAAACAGTATTAAGGGTACTTCAGTCAAAGTGTTGTGTGTAGGTACTTATTTATCAAACGCTGCCCTCACTTCGCTTCGGTGTGGAGTATAGTTTATGTTCTCCAGCTTCTATAAAACATAAATCTTATGTTTTTGTCTTTAGTTTTATATATTTGAGACGATAAATTTACTTATTTTGATAAGAATTCATAATTGTTGATAATATGACCAATAAACATGACCTCGATTTTAATTATGTTTTGTTTGATATAAAAACTACTTTGTGTGTCTTAAATATAAAACTTAGACATTATACTGTCGCTGATTTTTTGGTGGCATTATCAAGCTCTACAACTTTTCTCTAGATCTTAATCATACGTTTGTAAGAAACGTTTTCGTTGAACCATTTTTTCTCCCTATGCTAATTCAATTACGACGAAAAAGTCTTTTGATTTTTCCGGTTAATTTATTATAGCCCATGACACTTAAAAATAACGTGACTTTCTATTGGTAAGAGAATTTTCAAAATCGGTTAAATAGATCCAGAGATTACCCCTTACACCCTCATTCACTCACAATTTACAAACTCACAAACCTCTTTATAAAATTTGTATAGATTACTTAGCTCCATATACACTTTTACTATGCGAAATATTATCATGCTCTTCTATGTCCAAAATAGGCGAAAGTTTGTGAGTGTGTGAGTGTGTATGTTTGTTACTTCTTCACGTCTAAACGGCTGGAGCGATTTTAATAAAATTTGGTATGGAGTTAGCTGACACCCTGGATTAACACGTTTTACTGCGGCATAGTATCCTTATAAACCGTGGGTAACACCGCGGGACACTTATACCGGGACGCGGGACGGGTATCTTATGGTATTTTTATGACCTCCGTTGTCAAAAAACGTGAATCGTAATCTGTGAGACGGTATTATATCAAAATAAGTACTCGGTTGCACCAGCGGTGGTGTCACGATGATTTCTGGATGAATTCCATACTCATACGCAGTTAACGGCACTCGTCCCAAAGGACTCGGCTACTATAAAAGGTCTCTAGTCCTTCGATAGCCAGAACAAGATGGAATGCGTGATGAATCTAAGCCGTGTTTACCTTGAAGTACGAAAACGAAGAATTCAAGACTATATTATAGTACGACTTTTCAAGACTGACTTAGATTTAACTAACACATTCATTTAATCTTATAATTTAAAAAAAAAAAAAATTGTACTTCATAAATTCGAATCCCCATTCTCACTGTATTTGGGTGCATATTTACATACAATAGGTTCATGTCATGTATGCCCCTTCTGGCGTTTCAAGAGCCTCATAGGGTAATGACACATAAAGTAGAAAAATATATATTTATCATCATCAGCCTATTAATATTCTCACTTCTATAAGGCAAAATCCTCCACGATTGGAATAGCGAGAACGAGCTATGATCCACCCCACAGGCAAAATGCGGATTGATTGCGGATTCAGCCAAGGCCAATGACTTAACGTGCCCCCCAAAGCAAGGAGGAGCTCGAGCTGTGATACATTTTGGTCACACACAGAATAGCGAGAACGAGCTATGATCCGACCCACAGGCAAAATGCGGATTGATTGCGGATCCAGCCAAAGCCAATGACTTAACGTGCCCCCAAAGCAAGGAGGAGCTCGAGTTGTGATACATTTTGGTCACTCATACCGCCGTAATCATCCTTTGCGCAAGCGCTTAACACCCATGATATCAGATTGATTATATATACGCTTATCTACGCCAATGAGTAAATAAAAGTTCAGGGTTCGCTGATCTATACGTGGCGAAAGACAATGCACTAAAAAGAACCGACAGAAAAAAATAAAAGAAATGGTAAGGTTTTATGAAACCACGACGCAAGTGAAACTTAAAAACCATTTATAAAAGATGCCTCCTCGACTGGAGAACTAACCCGGGTCACTCGCGGAGCAGGAGAGCTTTCTACTACAGAACCACCGATGCTTATTAAAAAGTTCTGAATATTTTAATCAATTAAAAAAAGTAATGCGATTTGCTAAAGATGAAGAAAAAAATTTGTGGTGATGTAATATAAGTTTCACTTTAAAATATCACATTATATTCTGCTATCTCATTTGTTGGTAGACTTTTACAATCTACACTGGAAAGTTGGCAGGCAAGCGCATTCTATTAAGTGACTTCACTAACTCGTCATAGTTGATTTGACAATGAAATGCTAAGCCGTTGAAATAGTGGTAAACATCAAAATCCCACAAAAACTGTGTACACTCAATTTGTCACAATAGAATCACGTCTTCGTTGACACTAACCTCACGACGCGACGGACGCCAGCCGCCTATTCTGAGGATGCCGAAGTGAAAGTTGGCAATGATGGAACACAATGACCGCTTAAATTGTGTGCATCCATTCTAATAACCGACTTCGTTATCTACATAGGTACTCGTACTTGTACTGTGTCCAACAATTTGTGCAAGTAAATTATTATTTATGAGAGTAATTAAGTACCTACTTATCGTGATTTCCTGTCGTATTTTACAGATAGTGACCGCTCACATCAGAGTGCTGTTCTGTACAAATAAATTCACTATTCACCGCGAAATCCGCGGTGTAATTGGAAATTTAAATACGAATTTCAAATCACGCGGAGGGATACCGGTGTGAAAAGTGAGTTTGTTCTCAGAATAGCACTGAAGAAAAAAAATACTTACATAATTAATTACAGATAAAGAATGATTGATTCCGACCAAGATATTTTGATATGTTACGTATTTATCGGTCTATAGTTTTAATTAAAGAAACTCAAACATTTCCTATAAAGATGACATGAATAAGCTCTACCCACGTATTGTATGATATAGATGTAGACATTCTACATTTAATGTTACAAGTACGTGATTGTACATAATTAAGTCTGTCAATTTATGCTTTTGCGCTTAGTCCGCCTAATAAGTTTGGTTTGTATCATAGGAAATCAAAATTTTACACTAACCTATGACGCTGACGAAATCGCGAGTGTGCGTAATTGGTCCATGGTAGTAGTAATAATTTGGGAATTTAATTAATTTAATGACACGATAACACGAAAAAAGGTTTGACAAGGGCTTGCGGTTTGACTTTGTCTTTTTGACAACATCAATGTCAAGTTCCTAAATAAACAAATAGATCCCGCTCATAATAAAATGTTTTAGGCAACAAAATTTAACTACAAATAGTTCTTAGATTATTCCTAATAGGGCCGTTTTAATGAATGTTTCTTTAATGTGGTTATGTTGTTAAACTCTAATGTATTTTATGTCTCAATAACGTTATGTCGTTAGCCCGTATTCGGGTGCACGAAAGACATTCCTCGAATTCGGGCACCGAAAGCAATATTTACACTGGAATACGGGCTGGAAGAAGGTTGAAAACGGGCGTTCTCGACTCCGTTCATTTTCTCTTAGTTTCTTACCCGAATTCCATTTGCACTCGTATTTGGGCTAACGACCAAGTGTAATCGCGCCATTATATTTCGAAATATAATGATAAATTTAAAGTGACTTCATAAGTTAGAGCGTTTGTAACGTTAACGTTACAAACGCTCTAACTTATGAAGTCGCTCCGTACCTTAAGGTACGGAGCGGGTGTCTTCTATGAAACGAATACACCGAGCGCCCGCCCTAAAAGTCTTCGTTTTTTAATTATTATTTTAATTATATATGTTTGTAATATCAATCTCTAGATTGTTGTACCCGCCTTTGTTTAAATTCTTTTATATTAATTTAATTTATTAAAATCATTTATTACAGATTGCAATGTCATCCCAATGGATCCTGTTCGTGGTGATAGCAGTTCACTTGGTGCACTGCAATGAGAATGATATCAAGGACCCAGCACCCATAGTTTACGAGTAAGTTGGATAACAAATCCACTGAAATATTGCCGAAAGTGTTATAAAAGCTGATATAAGTCAACATTAAATCCATATTTTTCTAATTAAAGCAAAATTATGCATGTCAAAGTTCCGCCCAGGTCCCTCCAACACCTAACACAATCCAACTATGTCAGCCACTTGCCTTGGTCTTCTTCAAACTTGCTCAACGGCTAGACGGTAGTACTTGCCTTCTATCAGATTGCTTAAGTTGGCGTTGGGTTTAGCTCAGTCAAAGCTGTTTACGACTTTGGTTTAGGAGGCTTTACCGGGACTTTAATAAAGAACATGTCGAATTTCTGCTAATATGTATAACAGGCTGCTTTTTAGCTTTATTTTATTTATATTAAGCGCTAGTATGTATAACAGGCTGCTTTTTAACTTTATTTTATTTATATTAAGCATTTTAGTAGATGAAAGTTTAGTTTTATATTTAAGAACACTACTCTTTAATCAAAACACTCCTAGCTCCTAAAACGTTAGCTAGTTGAACACAAAATGAATGATACTCGTAGGTAGATGATAGATACATCGTTATTACTTAGGTACTTCGATTGTTCAAGTTTTTCAAAGCCATAACCGTGGGCGTCTTTAATCTTTATCATCATGTGTCGTTTTAACCTATCATCTTTGTGCTACCTAGGCGATGAAACGTATCATTTTATTATGGAAAATCCATAATAATCCATATACCTACGTACTAATAAGACATAGGACCTGTGTACCCAAGTGTAACGCAAACTCTATTCAGTATACATTTACTAGCTCAAAAGATTATCCTATACATATTTTCAACAATAAAATAAATAAATAAAATAATAAAATAAGCCTTTATTGCTGCAAAACATTAGAATAATACATATTATTTAGTTCCTATTGCTATTTACTATTTACTTTATCTATACTATTGCTTAACAAAATTTTTGCTATATACTATATCTAAACTATGTATTACTATTACTAAACATAAACTATTTATTTTATTATTTCACAGCTTGTCCTTCGACAAAGGCCTCCTCTAAAGCTTTCCATTTTAATCGGTTTTTTGCTAGACGTGTCCATTCTGGGCCTACCGCCTTTTTAATGTCGTCTTCCCAACGTTTACTTTGTCTGCCTTTGCTTCTTTTGCTATCACGTGGGTACCATTCTGTGACTAGTTTTGTCCACTTCTCTTTTTCTTCTCTTAACATATGTCCTGTCCATCTCCATTTCATGCATTTGTACACAGTATGTATATTTTTGAATTTAGTTCTACTCTTTATAGTCTGTAATCTCACCTTGTCTCTTCTTCTGACTCCAACTACGCATCTCTCCATTCCATTTTGGCATACTTTGACTTTTTTGAGTTGCTGTTCGGTTAGGGCCCATGTTTGGCATGCATACGATAAACATGGAAGGACACATGTATCAAATATTTTTCTTTTCTCTTTGATATGCATGTAATTGTTCTTCATTACCTCGCTTAGAGACCAAAACCTTTTCCAGCTATATGCAATTCTCCTACCTATTTCCTTCTGCATTGAGTCTTCTGTGGATACTAGTTGGCCTAAATAAATATACTCGTAAACATACTCAATATCTATGTGTTTGTGCCCATTACTGATTTGAATGCTCTTCCTAATTGAGTTGGTCATTACCTTCGTTTTTGATGGGTTCATTGATAGGCGGACCATGGCGCCATTTATTTAGCAGCAACTCCCTGCCTGTCTAGTGCTATCCAAATGCTGTTATGTTCTATGGAATCGAATGCTTTATTAAAATCCACAAACCCATGATAATAAGCTTTATTGTACTCCTTGTACTTTTGAAGCACCTGTCTGACGACGTGCATATGGTCTATTGTCGAAAACTTGCTCCGGAATCCAACCTGTCCCCTGGGTTGGTTTTCATCTAGCGTGATGGCAATCCGAGATAGTATTATCTTTGCGAATATTTTGTAGATGTTTGACATTAAACTTATCGGTCTGTAATTGTTCATATCTCCTTTATGTCCAGTCTTTAGGAATATTTTCGGCCAGTAAAATATCATTAAATAATTCTGTTAATCTGGGAGTAATTACTGGTGTTGTGTATTTTAAAAGCTGCTTAGATATTTGGTTTGAGCCTGGCGCTTTGTCTGATTTTTGTGAGTGAATTACTTTTGTAACTTCTTCCTGTAATATTGTTGGTACTGGTTCCGAGTCTGTCAAATATTTTTGTGTTTCTCCTTGTGATCTTCTTTGACTTTTGTATAGTGTTTTATAGTAGTCTGTCGCAATCTTTAATATCTCTTGTCTTTTACTTGTAGAACTTCCATCCTTGGTTTTAATGTTCGGCATCCATGTTTTCGTTTGATTTAATTCTTTTATAGCTTTCTTAATCCCTCCAGTTTTTTCGATAAATGTTTTAATCGTTTTATCTCGTTTTGTTCTCCTGTCTTTTCTTATGCGTACGTTTATCATTTTGCTTAGTTCAGATATCTTTTGACGCGATTGTTTAGTTTCTAGAGATAGTGTGTTTAGAGTTGGTTTGTTTGTTTGCTTAATTTCCGTTTTTATTACGTGTACCATGGTGTCGTATCGTTCTTGTATTGACTGATCCTGTGTATTTATGTTTTTGTTTAATGCAATATTTAGGTTATCGAGAAACACACCTTTTTCGCCTGGAGGTAATAGTGCAGTATTGTACATTATGAATATATACCCTTTTTTGTTTTTGTGTTCCTGATAGTGATGTTCTAACCATTCTGTGGTCTGTATGAAAATTAAGTTGGTTAACAGTATCTATGTCTTTAAATAGTTTTCGGTTGTTGGTCAAAATAAAGTCGATCTCATTTTTTTGCAGGCAGTGTCCATTTTCTGGACTTCTTTGTCTGTGATTTAGAATGTATTTAGAATGCTTAGTTTGTTTTCCAACGCGAAAGAAATCTTTTTCCGTTTTTACTTCTTTGGCCATGCCCGTGTTCTCCTATTGTATATTCTTCTCCTTTGCGACGGACTCCTATTTGACCATTAAAATCCCCCATGACGATAAGATTTTTATATGAAGCTTGTAATTGTAGATCTTCATAGAATTAGTCAATCTTTATGTTATCTTCTTTTTTATTTGGTTCAGTTGGTGAATATGCTTGGATTATGGTCCACATTTCTTCTTTATCTTTATGTGTAGGCAGTTTGATATTGAGGAGTGCTATTCTTTCATTGGTTCCTCGCAGTTCTTCTATTTTATTTGCTAAGTTGTTTTTGATTAGGAAACCGACTCCGTATAATCCTGCGGTCTCACCAATATAGTGTAGAATATACTTGCCATTATAGTCCTCAATACCCTCACCAAGTCGTCTCATCTCGCTGATTCCGATTATGTCCCATTTAATGTTTTCCAAGGCCAGCTCAAGTTCCATTAGTTTTTCGGGTGTTCGTAGTGATCGTGTATTCAGGGTAGCTATATGTATGTCCGAGGTAGATTTTCTTGTGTCACTGTTTTTTCTGCTTAGAGGGTCTTGGTCTTTTTCCCCCACGAAGACCAGTCGGCTTGGGGGAGGGTTTTGTTTCTCAGTTTTGCTCAGTTTTTCATTTGTGGTAGGTTTGGTTCTCCGGTTTCCGATTATTAGTTGCTATTGGTTTTTGTTGGTTGGTTTTCAACAATATTCTCACGTAAATGACACACAACAATGATAAGCTGTTCGCTTAGCTTCCCGGATAATGAGTTCGCGCGACTGTTTTTACGTCTATTGTTTTCAACACAATATTAATGACAGAAAAACCTAACAACGACAAGGCTGTTAGATCACCAGTTCCTTGAAGAAGAACTTTTTAGGAACATTTAGGTATCAATTTTGTTTTCTCTAAATTCTATCTGACGTACCTACTTTATAATTCGAAAATAAAATATGTATAATGCGATTCAAATAAGAATGGGAAAGCCAATGACCTCTATCTGTCAATTGTCGCTTGAAAAGTACGGTTTGCAAAAAAAAACTTGGAACCCTTTTTAGCACTCCGCTAATTCAAGAATAAAAACCAAACATTTGTAAAGAAACAATAACAAATATTGATTATTAATATCGGTTGATTTTATTTTTCACTTATTGCGCTTTGGTCATGAATGGTTGATAACCTAAATCGTCAACAAAATGTCACTTAAAGTTGCGTTCAGAAACTCGATTTCAAACTTTCGTTTACATAAAGGATGCATGTTCGTATTGTGACCTGCATGATTATTCATAACTACTCCGGCGGTAATGCAGAGATGAGCGGAATAGATGAGCTAGATTCTGATTAATGTTTTTTGATGATGATGAATTTATTTTGATTGCAGACCATCATGGGTATACAAGTGTATGGGGACCGACGGTTGCCAGCGGTCCAACCGGCCTATGCCAGCGGGTAACTCCTCATTGTACTACGACAGCTTGTCACTCTGTCGAACTGTTTGCGGCCGTTTCGGCGGAATCTGGCCGAAGCCCGTGTCCGCTGTTCTGAGTACACAAACAGTGAAAATACATCCCACGAACTTGCGGTAAGTGAGCTTACTGCTGCCCGTCATGCAAAATAGTGTTTTTAGGGTTCCATACCTCAAAAGGAAAAAACGGAACTCTTATAGGATCACTTTGGTGTCCGTCCGTCCGTCCGTCCGTTAGTCAAGACCGTTTTTCTCAAGAATGCGTGGAGGTATCAAACTGAAATTCATATCTAATACGCATGTCTATTGTCCCTTGGAGCTGTCAAAAAAATCAAATTTCTAAGCCAAATAAATCCAAAGATACAGCCGTTTAAGCCGCAAATTCCCGCAAATTTTCGAAACTCGCACGGGAATCAAATCCTACAGGGTACTTTCCGTGAACTTGGAATCTTGAAATTTGGTACGGAGTAACGTCTTATAGTATAGATAAAGAAAAAAATGCGAAAACCGTAAATTTTTAATTACATCATATAATAAAAAAATATCTTTTTGAAAATTTTAAAGTTACTACCTCTTTTCTCATGAACGCGTAGAGATATTGAGTTTGTGCGGAACCCTCGGTGCACGAGTCCGACTCGCACTTGGCCGGTTTTTTAGACGGCGCAACAAATTACCTCACCGCACCTAATAGTAAGTGTAGGTGGAGTCCAGTCGCGAAGGTAGATGATGCGGTAGAATGTGTGCCGCTCCAAGCCTTGCCGACCTAAACCCAATCCCTTACGCCGCGGAATAGGTACTAATAATTATAGCTTTTATTAGTGTTGCCTGAGAAAGATCAGTAGGCAACTCGTGATATATATCTGGTACTTGTATCGCAAGTGTTTAAGGTTTGGTGGTCGCTGATCATCAGGCGGGCTATGCGCTTGTTTGCCATCCTGTTACAGAAAAATAAACTAATATTCCGCTTGAATTGCGTAGAAGTAAAACATTTGATTAAGTGAATTAACCGGGTTACAATTAATATTATATACTTACACTCATTTCATTATCAGCTGTTTAAACTTTTTCTATTAGTCTAAGGCCCGTATTATAGAAATATTCTCAGTGATTGATCTAGTCTTGAGCATTGTTAGAAAGGGATGTCGCTATATATAGCACATAGCGACATCCCTTTCTAACTGTACTCGAGTAAAGATCAAGACAACACTTAGTTGTCATTCTGTAATACGGGCCTTAGTCTATTTATACTATGGTGAGTAGGTTTACTCGAAAGAAAACTGAGGTGTCTAAATGATTTCCATAATTGAAATGTTTTAGCAAAATATATTATTTGGAACTCTACGGTTTTTTTTTCGTTAACCATCCGGTTTATATAAGTAATATACTTTATCTGAGTTGGTACCTACACTCTTTGGCGCAATGGTAAGCGGATTATCATTATCTCCAACCAATTAAAAGATTAAACAATTTTCGATCTTGCACATCTCGTACATTTCTCCGTGGCTATGACAGTCAGGTTCATTGTGTTTGTGAGGCCATAAATCATAACCGTCCAAAGTCCATTCACCTAAATACGTGTCTATAATGGTCGGTACTCGTTACAGGTGTCTGCTGCTCGTCTATCTATTCTTGGTGGCGACATTTCTTGCGTCACATGTTATGCGTGCGACACTACATAATTGACTATGCTGCAGTACACAATCTCTATACACTACGACAATGCGCTGTGATAAGCGCCATCTGGCTCTAAGGTTTTGGAAGTAAAGTAACTTGCGATGTTCATTTTGGCCATACGAAAGTTAACCAAATGTTTATTGAGTTTCGACCTCCTCGTTGGTTCCTGCTGCATCTGCATTCCTGAAGTGGCAATGGGCAAGTGGCATGGCAACAGCCTATTGAAATCGCAAAGAATATAACAGCGTTGTCACTTTAAAGATAATAATGAACCTTAAATATAAAATTATTTAACTTTAAAGTCTTTTTTATAAACATAGCGCAACGGAATCCTTTACCTATGGTAAACACAAACGTGACGAATTCTATACAAGTCAATTGAAAAATATAAAATGTATTGCCGTGACATTATGGTGAGACGCATACTGTTGTGTGATTTACACTATGCATTGTAGTAAGCGCGTAAACGTAACTAATTTGAAGGATTTAATATTTGTATTGTAACATCGAAACTGTTTTTATGACGAACATTATTCGCACTCTCGTATTTTTGTAACAATAGAAAAAAACAAAACCGATGTTTGAGCAGTGAAAAATAAAACAAGCGCGTCACTAATTTCCTCAAAGTAGTCATCATAAATAAGAATTTTCTTTCTTTTACCTTTATATTTTAAAATTACATTCACAGCTTATACCTAGCTGGACACCATATTTATTTTTCTTGTACAGGTGGCAGAGCATTTAGGTGGGCCACAAGATTGATATAAATAAATATAAAATAATTTCATTTTTTACATAAACTACAATAACCTTAGGAGGGATGAAGGGACTAAATATTTTTTTACGCGGCGCAACAAAATAAATTACCCCACATCATGTGTGGAGTACAGTCGCTAACTCAGATGGTTTTGCTGTTTTCAAAGTTTGTCGCTCCAGCCATTCTCACCTTGCTTGCCTCAACCAAATACTCTATAGGAGATCTGGAATCTCACTAAATGCAACACCACCAAAATACTGTTTTACTAAGTAAGATCTTCTGTAACGTGAAGGTTAAAATGCAATCCCCTAAATAAAACGTATTATTGTATTATAATGTATGTTACTTCGCGTTTACACCAAGAAACAAGTCACATAGGCGCTAAACCAGAAAATTCACTATGTCCTGCCTCTCTTCCACGTAACCTTACCTACAAACTGCAAACTTGTTTGAGCATAAACCATGGACAAAGGAGCTTATTTTAACAGACTTTAAAAAAGGAGAATCGTCGTCGTTTTTTTTAAATCACTACACCTAACTCTTTTCTGGGATAAAAAAGTATCCTATGTCTCAATCCAGGTACTTAACTACATGCGTACCAAATTACATCCAAAATGTTTTCTGTTTTTGCGTGACTGAGTAACAAACATACAGACACACAAACTTTCACAATTTATGATGTTAGTAGGATGTTGGTTACGCGAACATTGTTGAAGAATATTTTTTGTTGAGTTGGTAATATTTTTGCTTGTGTGATTTTGCTCAAGATGTTTGCTGCTTCCAATACCGTCTCATAGAACTACGAACGAGTACATACTTAATTAGTTCGCGCGACCAAGCTGAGGAATAAGCAATATCTCTTATCTCTATAAGGACGGAGCTCTAAATCTTAATTATTTTCAAGTAATCATGCGTTTAATTATTTGTTACACAATGGGTTAATAGTCATATATTAATTCGGTGTGTGTAAATATCAAAAAGGGCCCAGCCGCAATCAGTCTTTTGATCGGTTGGGCTTCATCCAAATGTAGTGACCTAAATATACAGAACAGTAAACTATTTCTAAATAATCTGTGTAGAATGTTATTGTGTTTATGATTATTTTTGTCTTCCTTCATGCTAATATTAAACTATATTTGTTTTTGGACTAAATAAGTTTTATTTGTATTAGAAATAAAATTTTCTGATAAATTTATACGGACGGTTGGATAGCTGTAGCTAGGTAAGGGAATTCTACTGTCGTTCTTTTAGTTATGAAACCCTATTAAGAAGAATTCTCTAACTCCTTCAGACTTATTACCAAACCATGATGAAATCTTAGGGTGTAAATAATATTTAACAAGAAAAATTACACGTGGACCAGGCAGCAGGGACACGGGACTCGAACCCGCACCCTCCGCTATTCGAGCGGTTGCACTGACCATTATGCTACCGCCGCCCTAATTCTCCGTGTCGAATTCTCTCTAGTATTTCTTTGACTGCAAGGCAGCGCCATCTCTTCGCATTGTCGGTAACCCACAATGTCGAATGAATACCTTTACAAGTATTAAACATTTGTAAGAAGAAATAGCAATTATAGGGATATTTTAACTTTTTAAGCATTTAACTGCTAGATGTTTTAATCTAAAGAATTGATTGATTTGCCTGGTCCTCGTGGAAATTTTTCTAGTAAAATTTTCTTTAGATATAAACATCTAGCAGGGTAATGATAGAAAAATAAAAATTATAAGTATCGTAGGGACTTTTCGAAAACATTAGAACATTTGAGTTATATCGATTTTAAAGAGAATCTTAAATTTGTTTGTGGCACTAACGGGTAAAGTTAGCGTCAAATTACAATTACTAGTTATTCTGCTTTATACCTACGCTGCACAAATTTCTTTATTGCAATAATTTTCCAAGGTATAAGGTTGTTTTTCATTATCAAGATTATCAAGAATTATGCTAAAAATGACAAAGAATGATATTCGTGATCGAATAATATCAAACGTATATATATAACGAATATTAATTCTAACAACCTCTTCACTAATATCAATAAAATATCGTTGAACGAGTTATGTAGTCGTTAACATATGACCGGAGAGGAGAGGTCTTTGACCATCATCGGCCGTTTACCTTGGTGTTGAGCATCCCACAAGTGGTTATGTCAATATTTATTTATATGCACAAATAGTAAAGCAAATTATCACAGCACTAAAAGGTGAACGACTCCACGGGACATTTATAAATCGCGATTAGGTTAGGGCGTGGTGTTCGGAGACTGCCCAGTCGCGTCGGATATTAGTTGCTTGTTTAATGCCACTCTTATAAATAGCTTTCTTATTAATAATCTTAGGAACTCCCACGACAGTTACCATTCGAAAAAACTATAAAATATGAGTATTGTAATAAAGGAATGAGTAAGTTTAATATTTATTTTCACTTATCACATTATTAGATACATATATTTCGGAAACTTAGGCCCGTATTAAAGAAAGATTCTCAGTAATGAATCTAGTCTTGAGCATAGTCATAAAGAGATGTCGCTATGTATAGCACATAGGCGCATCCCTCTCTAACTGTACTCAAGTAAAGATCAACACTTAGTTGTCATTCTGTAAACGGGCCTTAAACTCAATAAAATGTTAATATGTAACAAAAAAGGAAACGAATTATACCTCTAAAATCATTTTAGCCGTTTAGGTGTAAGTAATTGCTTAAAAAACACACCAATATTTAATATAAATTTAAAAAATAAAATATTTATTTTCTTTCGATACTAGATGATACTGTGAGATATCTACATGTAGAAAAAAAAGTCATTAAAATTGTTAATATTACCTAAATGACTATCAGTTAACTACTATACTGTCATGGTTAGGACTATCATCATCATTAGCCTATTATCATAGAGAAGACCTATGCTCCAGCAGTGTGTCCCCACTGCTGGAGCCTTCTCTATGGATGGAATCGCTACTAAGTTTTTGGTCACCCATCCAATGATCGATCATTGCGAAAGTTGCTTAGCTTTCACGATCGTAGGCCGAATGGGCTAATCAACTGCGTCATCGAGCTCGACACTCCATTTAGGATTATAGGACGCATTATTTGGCAGATATATTTTTCTTAGCCACTTCATACTGGTAGAACTTACGTGATTTTTTATGCGAAATTATATACATGCAAGCCTATTGCATATTGATAAAACTTCCATTAATTAAGTTTCATATGCATTAAGATTAATTGATTGTAGTTATCCATCCAGCTTAGTTAGGTACTGCATAAATATTCCTACATCGATTTTTCCGCATGGCCTGAGTTCTGAGAATTCTAAAATGTAGCCAATTTTTAAGGGATCGGTGATCTTGAACCAAGCACAATAAATATTAGATATTTAAACGATTTAACGCAATAGATAGATAGATTGTCACAAAAACATCGGAGCTTTAGGTAAATGTTATTTTATTCTGAAGTAAGATTTACAGGATTAAGAGTGAATAAATACAAAGTATGTAGAACTTTGAGGAGCTCGATGGCGCAAGTGGTTAGCGCGTTCGGCTGCGATCGTTGAAGTTAAGCAACTTTCCCAGTGGTCGGTCATTGGATGGGTGATCAAAAATCTTCTATCTCGAGTTCGCCCGTGCTTCGGAAGGGAGTTAAACTGTTGATCCCGGCTGCATCTGCAGTCGTTAGCACCCGCCAATTCACACTGGGCGCGCGTAGTGGGTCATGGCCCAATCTCCCTATTCCATCCATAGGAAAAGCCTGTGCCCCAGCTGTGGGGACATTAATAGGCTGATGATGATGATGATGTAGAACTTTTATGAGAATGAAATGTCTTGAGTTACAAGAATAACTACACTGGACAGCAAAATAAACCGGGTAACTTGCTACCTTGCAACTCTGATTTGATTTTCTCGAAAAGTATAAAACTTACAACTATTTAAGTTATACCAACAGAAGGTGCGTTTCATGATCATTAAAATAAACGGAAACTATTGAGATCAATCAATTTATAAAGTTTTATTAAGAATTTTCCAAAGAAGTGTCGTTTTCCAGTTGTGTTAGCCGGTATTAAAAATCATAGCAAAAATACACACGTCTGAGAAAACGGTGGGCAAAAACTAAAGAAAAGCTAACAAGTATCAGATTATTCTATTGTTTTAAAAGACGATAGTTCGCCACTTTATAAAAATGACGATAGTTCGCCTCTTTATAAAAAAGAAAATAAAATCGTTAACAAAATGTTACTTGTTTGATTACAAAGTAAGTTGACAGTACTTCAGATTTTTTTGAGCTTTGATATGTGTAAGTTTTATATTTAAAAAAAAACGAATCAGCGCTCCAAGGCTCATGCCGGTAACCCGGTTGAATTGCTGTTGAGTGTAATGAGAGACACTGACACCGACATTCTTAGATGAAATAAAGGCTTAATTCAGTTTAAAAAATACACCATTCCATCTTTGTCAATAGCTTATATAGTTAAATGGAGATAGAAACTTCTGTAGCTTTTAAATTAAATTTTAAGAACTTTAGTGCAAGTTGGCCCTAGAATATTAGCATTTAAATGCTCACACTAAAGAATTATTACACCTTTTCTAAAATAGGTATGATTTGAGCAACGTCCCAGCGGAGGCGAGAGAGATGGTCGCGCAGATGACGCAAGTGACGTCATCGAACCTGATAGCCGAGTGCGCGGGCAACGTCACCGACTTGACGGACACCCGTGTGGTGGTCTACCTTACCGTGAGAGGCACAAGCCTCGACCTCACCTGGGACACAAACGAGGAGTACTTCCTCGATGTGCAGACGAAAGGTAATTAGCAGATATACACACGGGTCCTCCCATACGAGCACAGTGGCACGGGCCTGACCCAAGTGACGTCATCGAACCTGATGGCCGAGTGCGCGTTCAACGTCACCGACCTGACGGACACTAGCGTGGTGATGTACCTCACCAGTCTCGACCTCACCTGCGACACCAGCGAGGAGAAGTTCCTTGATGAGCAGATGAAAGGTAATGAACACACGTAAGTACCAGTACCTACATACCAGCACAGGGACGCCAGCTTTGGAAAAGCTTCATTCCAGCTCCGCCAAGAACACCCCGAGGACCTTCACATTGGTGATTGCCTCTTGAAGGTTTCTCAGTGAGCCGAGGTTTAATACACATGAACCCCTACATCCGAGCAAAATGGAGTCGGCTTTTAGAAAAAAAAATCGTGTAAGGAGTGTTTTATTTTTGAAATTGTTTTGCCACGTCAGCTAGCAATGTCAGATAAAGAAAATTATTGATCATGGGATAGAAATTGTTTTGCATTGACGCGTCAAACCAATTTGCTATGTGGCAATTTTCCGACAAGAAGATACCAAAAATAATAAGAAATGAAGTGCCTTTTCCGACAATGTGGCGAATGAGATTAGCTAGGTAGCTGGGTGGGTATATGCCCCTATGTGTATTTATATATGTGTGTGTGGGTATATACCTAGATGGGCAGCTACTGACGGTGGTTGCTGTGGACTTGGTCTTAAGTTTGTTCAATAGTTTGACGGAATCGGGGAATCAACGGAGTTATAATATTATAGTTATAGATAACGGAGTTATAAATGAAATTTCGCAGACAAATAGTTTATTACTTGGATTGAGACATATAAAGTATCCATATCCCGAAAAATGTTAGATTATCAAAAAACTATACTTAATAAGCTAGTGATAAATAATGGTATCTTTTCCGTTAGAAATGTTACCATTTTACTTATCGTCCCTATAAGCCTTATATACTAAAGTTGATAACATTTTACTTCAGAGAGCGGTGTAGCAGTTCGGATCGACGCCGAAAACGTGTACGGAATGCGTCACGGTTTAGAAACCTTCAGCCAACTGGTGACGTCAGATAAGCCCGACCACTCGCGCCAAACTGAATGTGGTCTGCGTATTGTCATAGGTGCCAAGATCAGAGACAAACCCGCATACAAACACAGGGGTTTAGTCCTGGATACCTCTAGACACTTCATACCGATGAAAGATATCAAGAGAATGATCGACGGCATGGCTTCAACTAAAATGAACGTTTTCCATTGGCATGTCACTGATTCGCACAGTTTTCCTTTGGAGTCAACAAGGGTACCGCAGTTTACAAGGTAAATTCATTTAGCTTATTATTAAAATTATGGGAATTAGCATGAAATAGGAAGACAGGTTCCTATTTTGTTATAAAGAATTTATCTTTCATACGAACTTACAAGGATAGTTCAGTTAAGGTTCAGCACAGTAGGCAGGAAACAATTTGTAGAGGAGCCAAGATCAGTGACAAAACCCCTTACAAGCACGGATAGATGCCTTATCCTGGAAACCCCTAGACATTTGATACCAATGAAAGATAAAGAGAATGATCGACGGTATGGGTTCAACTAAAACGAACGTTTTCCATTGGCATGTCACTGATTCGCTCAGTTTTCCTTTGGAGTCGACGAGGGCACTGCAGTTTACAAGGTAAATTGTCGAAGATTATTATTTGACTGAGATTTCTAGGAATCAGGATAGTATATCTCATCCCCAGATCCCTATAAAAAGATTTAAGTAAATGTCAGACTAGACATTGCATACTTTAGCGTTGTCAGATTAGAATAATATAGATATCTAACGATATACGGGTGATTATTATGTTCAATAAGCAGAATATAGCACATCTCCCTATATTTGCAAATTGGTATCGTAATTTCCTATGGACGTATCCGCTCATTATCGCATTTTACCTATTCAGCCATTATTTATTTAATGTATCATGTTTTCTGAGTTTTTTTACTCCAGAGTTTCGCATTGTATTCCATCAGATCTAATAAATAAATTCACAGTACTTTAAATATAACTCATAACTGAATCAAATTAAAATAACTCCCTTGTTAGGTTTCCAAGAATGCAGCGAAATTACATTAGCAAAATTTTTCATTTAATTACGGATGAAATCTGTCAGGTAATTATACACTAAAGCAAGGCATTGATATACGTAACAAATCCTATCCTCGCACTAAATAAAAGTCATTTTTTGAAGATCTTTTCAATGTGTCAGTTGATAACAGTCGTATAAATTTGAATAGAGGAAGGAGTAGATCATTTCTTGTCGGTATTTTTGGTATACTATATGATACCATATTCTCTCACTCTATCATCTTTGAAATAATAAGAGAGTTGATTGATGGTTGATTTAACAAAGCTACCTTCAACATTTCCAGGTACGGTGCTTACTCATCTTCCGAGATCTATTCTGCGGAGGAAGTGCGTCAACTGATCAAATATGCCCAAATTCGAGGAGTACGCGTCATCATAGAGATAGATGCGCCGGCGCACGCAGGAAACGGATGGCAGTGGGGGAAGGTAGTGTAATACTTACACGATAAAGAAAAAGTGCTTGTTTTAGTTTTAAGACACATTTGTTTATTTATTAGACTCACCTTTGGTTCTCCAACATTCAGGGTTAGGTTAGGTCGAAGAATGTGCATATAAGTCTATCAAGTCTTTTATTGGACCATTTGTTTATGTACAGATTTTTTCGGGTTAATAGACAATGTTATTTCGAAAAGTTTTGTAAAATAGGTGAAGCTTTTCGATTTTGGTTATCAGAACACTTTGGCAGTTTCATTAAAAAAAGAAGGCTTCATTGAACTATAGGTGTATTATCATCTTCAACTTTTCATTGACTGACCATTATCATGTCCATTACTTCCTCTTATTTCAAATGTCAGTTGAATTAATGGACTTGACAGGCCTTACCACAAAACGTAGGCTAAAGTTGAACCTGGAATAAAATTGATGCTATCACAACAGGACTATGGCTTCGGCGATCTAGCCGTGTGCGTGAACTCGGAACCTTGGAGACATCTCTGCATCGAGCCCCCTTGTGGTCAGCTGAATCCGGCCAATCCCGTCATGTACCGAGTTCTGAGAAACTTGTATAGGGATATAGCTGAAGTTCTTCCCAAGCCGGCTGTCTTTCATATGGGAGGTGACGAGGTAAGCTAATCAATCATTATTATCGTCGTGTTAATGGGAAAAACAACTAAATGTCCTTCTTTATGTTGGCCCATTATAATATTTTTATTTGTTTATGTTTTGTTACATCTGTAAAAGCAGCACAAAACAAATAATAAAAAGAAAATGAAAATTTTAGTTGCTTTTACTCGACTATATAAATAAATTTAGATGTTTAACTGAAAATATTACTGAATAATAACTTTTTGGATAATTTCAATGCCGAACATATGGTTGCGGTTCCACAAGAACAACAGTCAGAGAGGGAAGCAGTTTTTGAATAGGCGACTATGTTGTGGCTCGAAATTGCAAATAGGGGCACAAACATGTGTAAGGTACCAGCGATCGCGACGCGTTTGCAGGGCTGGAGAGTTGTGGAGCAGATAGAAAACCGGTCAGATCTACGGTAACTTCGAACCAGGGTTTCCCCTATTCCTGAATTATCAAACAATCCACACACCGTGCCGGTAGATGTGAGTTTTCCAAGATGGGCAATTACCAGGTTAAACAGAAAGGCAGTGGAGGAGCCTCCTTATTCCAGGCATGGTGCCTTGAATCTTGCAACATCGAGGATATAGAAGAGTTCGCTGAGATTTGGGGAGGAACCTTGGCATCCAACTGCAACGCCACAATGCCAAGGGTCGATACTAACCCCCGCAAAAGGCAAGTATAAGCTGATGGTCTGAAAAGATATAAAACCGTCAGGGACGCCGGTGTTAGGGCAAGGCGAGCTTTACGAAGATATAGATACAGAGGAACAAGTAGGGGAGAAAGAAGCGCTTCTCCTCTCCTCTTATTTACATAGAGGCGAAGAACATTCTAAGAAATGACATATGTAGAGCAAAAGCTGAGGTATAGCCCGCTTATCTCGATGAATTCTATAGGTTTCCAATCTGTGGGGGCGACCCTATCGTATGATCCGAAACGTGTTCCAGCACCAGGCACCCTCTACTGAATTCATGGATCCTTCAGCACACGGTATCGGTGCTGTTTCCCACGGTATCCCTAGAATCCCATCCTTGATGGCGTCTTCCTTAACGCCCGAGATAGAACAGAACTCAGAGATCCAATCTATCACAGCATAAGAACTCGAGACCCAAATCAAGAAGAAAGCACCAGGTCCAGATGGCGATTTGGAACATCTGGGGAGCATTGCGCCGTTGCGCTATCACAACGGCCATAGAGCACTATTTCAATTATTGAGAAGTGTTCTACATAAATAAGGAGGGGATTATCGTGTCGCCTCTTATGGCATGCGGTGTTACACAGGGGTCGGTTCCTTGAATTACTCCAGTGGAATATTGGATATGATTGGGTTGGCTCTGGGATATAACTTCCTAAAACGAATATGTTATGTTACGCAGATGATACGTTGGTCACAGCTAGAGGGAGCGACTATAATAAAGCAAAGAGACGAGCCACGGTAGGAGTCTCATTAGTGTGGGCTGAGTCTAAATGTGATGGTGTCCACAATAGAAGCAACCATCTTGAATGATCCGGGTGGTAAACTGCCAGCTGGGGCACATACCACTATGGACAGAGAGAGAGTGCCACTGAATGACGGAGGGCTCACATTAAATATTTAGAGCTACTATTAGATGGCTGTTGGCGCTTCGACACCCTTGTCCAGTGATTTCCATTATTAACTTCGATAAAGTGGATTAATTATTGCAGCGCTCGTGCCAGCAAGCACTAGATGACGTGTGATGTACGCGGCGCATTAATCAAAGCAAAAAAATTATAAGGCGCTCTAGTCGGGAGCATTTCTACAAAATATCTTCGTATTTTGAACGTGAATTGGTCAACTATACTAGTAGAAACGACTAACACGAGTTAATACGTATTGCTTTTCTATTTTTTCATATAACGATATCCCAATTTTTTTTCGGACAAAAACTGTATTGGTTAAGTATGAATTTATTCTTTAATTAATCCTGCTCAATTATTTTTTGCTAATGTAAAAAGTAATTAAGTCGTGATAATATCTATAATGTGTAGATTTTTAGAGTGAACCATGAAGAAATAACCATAACGAAAGTTAATTATATAAGCATAATAAGGTTTACTCAAAGATATGTCACAAAAAATTAGAATAATGTTTTGATATTTGTTTTTAAATCTAATTTTTTATGAAAAATCCTAATTTAGTTGTTATTCACTTTCACTGTCTTTTTACCTATGCATTATAAAACGAAGAAGTTTTTTTTTTGAGTAAAATATATTTTAACTCAATTTTGCCAAAGTCTGCACTTAATTGGTTTCCCCATTAACACGACGTTATTATCATGAGCCTTATAATATTGACAATACCCACCAAGTCCTTCATGTACCGAGTGCTTGAACCGGCTACTTTTCACATGTCTAAAAACATAAACTTTTTAGCTTAGGCCTTTCACATGGATGGTATAAGGAGAATAGGCGATGACTTACCACGCGAGCCCAGTGCGTAATAATGGATGCTTACGACTGCAGATTCGGCAGGAACCAACGATTAAAAGTTCTTGCTAAAACACGGAGAAGCTTGAATTTATAATTTTTAGTCACCCATCCTATAACTGACCATTGAGATAGTTGCTTGACTTTCACGATCGTGCTTACCACTTGCGCCATCGAGCTCCTCATTATAGAAATAATCGAATCCAAATCATTGCAGGTTTTCTTCGGGTGCTGGAACTCGAGCGAGGCAATAGTAAAATTCATGGAAGACAAAGGCATGGAGAGAACTGTGGAAGGGTTCATAAAATTGTGGGGAGACTTCCACACTAACGCCCTACAAGCTTGGGACGAAGAATTGAAGTCTCTGGGTATTAATGAACCGCAACCAGTGATGATCTGGTCTTCGGAACTGACTCAGGCACATAGGATACAGAAGTACTTGAGTAAAGACAGGTAAGCTATACTTACGTAAAGGTTAAAATTGTACTAGAAACCCAAACGCTTTAATTTGTGTGATTAACACAACAAAATCATGGTTGTTTATAGCATTGCCGTTATTTAATTCCTAATTTAGCTGAGTTTGGGACTAAAATAAATGATTATTTTGTTCTTAATTTATCTGCTAAATACTAAAATCAAAGACTTATCACAGAAGCAAAAGCGTGTTGTACTCAAATTAGTTTTATTTTCTTCACAGATACATCATCGAAGTATGGGAACCTGTGCTAAGTTCTCTTCTAATAGATCTTTTAAGGCTTGGATATCGAACTGTATCTGTGCCCAAAGATATATGGTATTTGGATCATGGATTCTGGGGACAGACGAAGTATTCCAATTGGAGAAGAATGTATACCCATATGCTGCCAAAAGACTCTAACGTGTTAGGCGGAGAAGTTGCAATGTGGACGGAATATGTCGATGAGAATGCTTTAGGTACGATGGTCTTTGAATTAATTCTTGAAAATCTTGGCCCTTAGGCTGCGTAGTTTAAAACATGTGAAATTTACTAAAAATGAGTAAAATTTTCGAAAATGCTTATTTTTTCTCTAAAGTCAAATTTAACTATGTTTTAAACAACTCGGCCTTACTAAAAATAGGCTAATTTACATGACACACACAATAAAAAAAACAAAAAAAACATTATTCATCATCAGCCTATTAAAAACCACACTGCTGGGCTATAGGCCTTCCCTGTGGATGAAATAGTGAGATGGGCCTCGACCCACCACGTGGGCCGGATTGGTGGGTGCTAACTACTGCAGATGCGGCCGGAACCAACGGCTTAACGTGCCTTCCGAAGCACGGAGGAGCTCGATATAATAAGTTTTTGGTCACCCATCCAATGATCAGCCATTGCGAAAGATACTTACTTTCACGATCGCAGGCCGCATGCGCTATCGAACTCCTCTATCATATCAACCTCATTTAACTGATCTCAATATATCCTCCTCATTTGAACTATACAGGGTTGATTTTAAAATATCAGAAACCTCGCAGGACTTGATTGCTACCATCATACATAACAACGTTTGTTCTACGAGTTTTAACATAACTCAATACTTAGATCAATAAAAAACAACTAAGTTTTTGATATACTGTCGTGACATTTATACGTCTATGCTTCCTTCATAATCAAAAGGGCATCGCACGCGCTCTATCCAATAATTAATATTAATATTGTATTTCTTTACCAGATACTTTACTTACATAGTCAATTGCTCACGTAGCCTGTATGCACTTGGTACACTGAATCCACAAACACTTCATTCTTTATTAACTATATTAAAATATTGAAAAAACAAGACTTGAAAAAAACTTAGGTATATTATCTTCCAAAATATGTAAAAATAATTTACGTAATCATTCTTTACCGTTTTCTAAAGTTACACAGAGTTATATTGGTACTTATCTTGGTACCTGTTATTTTGTTTTTGTTTTTAATCTAATGCAGGAGTAAGATGACGAATAATTTTTGCACACAAGGAAATGTGACTCACGCGAAATAAAGGTGTCGTCCGACTAGCGGCCATAGATAAGTAGGTCAATCAAATTCAAACGCTAGCGCCCCATCCTTTTCACCCCGCCCGACTTCTTCCTTCACCCCCGATTTCACGTATCTGTAGAGTTAAACATTCGGGCGGTAATTTAACTTCATATTTATTTTTGTATGAAAATAAAATGTAACGAATTTTCAAAAGTCGTAGAAAAAATGTTGTTGTGTATGATGTTAGCTATCTAGTACTGCGAGGTTACCGGTATTTTAAAATTAACCCTGTATACATATAGTCACATTTAACTATGTATCAAACAACGCGGCCTCAAAAAACAATTATCTTTGCAGATACTCGCGTTTGGCCACGGGCAGCAGCAGTGGCGGAGAGATTATGGTCAGATCCTTTATCCTTGCCCAATTCTGCTGAGCCTCGTCTCCAACGATTTAGAGAACGACTTATTGCAAGGGGATTAAGACCTGATGCCATGTCTCCTGCTTGGTGTGCACAACACGATTCTAGATGTCTTTAGATACCATTCTCATAAATAATTAAGACTTGGACAACACATACCTATGATTTGGACTTTCTTGGCACATCAATACTTAAGACTTTTGAGATGTCTGATGACTGGCTACCAGCTATATCAGAAAGGAATCTTACCTACAAAATCACTATAAATAGTGTAGCAAATGACATCACAGAATTATTCAAAGTTTCTGTTAATGCATACATAAAAGTTGAATGTCTGATGACTGCCTACCAGCTGTATCAGAAGTGAACTGCACCTTCACAATTACAACCCATTGTAAATGACATTCAAAGTCAACTTAATTAACTACAGTGCCTTCAGTACGTACAGAACATCTCCAAATACCTCATGTTGGTAGTATACCACAGCCTATGCTGCTAAGCTTCGACTAAAGTGCTTTAAGGATCGTCTTTTTGTAAGTGAACTAAGGCTAGGCTATGCCTTCCCAATATGAATCTGGATGTTTTAAACACCATTCTCATTAATACTTAGATTTTGAAGACGTCCGATGACTGCCTATAAGCCTTTACAATCACTGCTATCTTTGAAAATCAGAGGACATTCAATGGCTGCTATCAACGACAGCATAAAATCAACTACACATAATAGAGACAGACGTGCTCTAATCAAAACACCCTTATATATTATACTACTTTATCCGTGACGCATTGTCATCCAAAACCATTTATCCAAATAAATGAGTGGTGATTATAATTTTGTAACTGATAACTAAACCAAACTTCTTGTGTATTTTTTATGCTGTTTCATAGTAATCAGTTCTGCTCTCTAATCTATTAAAGTTAACGAAGTATGGTAAAGTCATTTATTATTAGGTTTATGGACGTTGTACTATTTAAAGGATTTCGAACTCAGATTTATTAGATCCTATTTATTGTAGGGGCTAGATCTAAAAGACTGCTTTGAATAATTTAACTAATTATGAGACAGTAACTTGGAAAACATAGATGCCCTTCATCTATCACAGTAGATAACAAAAGCATTCTTGTATGCAACAAAATTAAATAACTAGTATTGCCTGTGGTATTTTGAACCTCCAAAATTATAAGAGTTTTATATAAACATATTTTGCGGGGAACCGTTAATCTAGGTTACTATAAAATCTATAGATCTAAACAGATCTATCGATATATTTCTTTGCAAGTTTCAAATAAATCCCAAATAATAATTCAGGGCCAAAAGTAATATGGGATTATCAATTGACTCGTTTTAAGGGTAATTAAAAGAGGGATTTCTATTCCCAATTATAAAATTACCCAGCATTATGTATTTAGAAGATTTTATAAGATTGATCTTCGCCGCTTATAAACTTATATCTTAATAAGTAATTTAATGAAAATGGTGTAAATTTCATAATAATATAGTTAGGTATCTTTTTTGTAAATAAACTTGTATACGAAATTATGTATAGTAGAGTTTATATTTATGGCGTTTACTTATATATTGTGATAATTATTTACAGTAAATGTACATACTTGATTATATTTATACAACTATGTTATATCAATAAAGAGATATTACGTGGTGCTATTTTATAATTTATGCATTTTATTTACTCTTAATTATGTAGTCTTTGGAATACATTTCGAGATCATCTACCTACTGCTATCACATTTTTCTACAGTTTCTACTTAGGCACTAAGTTTAATACAAAATTGTCTACTGTCAACTTATCCATTACAGTTTTGATTAAATTTTAATCACCTTACATGTGAAAATATTAACTAAACAGACAATCAAATGACAAAGTAAATATAATAATGCTATAATAACACTGTTCAAATAAAATCTGCAAATGTGAAATATTTAGAATTGTAAATATCCTTATTATTTTGCTAACCAGCTAAAACTCATTATTATTCTTTACGGAACCGAGACTTAAATCATTGGGTACCAAATCATGCAAAACTGTGTCACTTCTAAAAATGTTTGTGGCTATCCTATTAGCCAATCTCTCCGATTCCCTAAGATCGTCGTCTTTCGATGAATGTGATGTAAGATCTATTTCTGTATCGCTTTCGCTATCGGTGTCCTTTTCTCTCCGTGCTCGATAGGCTAAATTCTGGGGTTCTTCTAGGTCTTGGACAGAAGTCGCACACGGACAATTCTTGGAAAGAACTCTTAAATCAGTTGGAACTATGTCTGTGTTATCCATCGATTGATTCATAATCATCGGTGGAAAAGGGAATGGCGGTTGCAGAATTCTGCCATCTTCGCTTCCGTACATTTGAGGAGGCATATCGTGGATCGCTGTGGAAACAGGAGGCAAAGATTCTTGCATGTTAGAGTTATGCATGTACGAATCCTGGCGGGGCGACTTGATCTCCCTGTTGTCTAGCGGTGGCTCAGGCGAGTCTTTCTCCGAAGGTGACTCTGGTGCTTCTGGTGATGAATCCGGCGGTTTTGCATGACCTGAAAATAAAGCGGTCATAAAGTTTAGTACATTTGAAATTATCATACAAGATTGATGGTGTTACCGTTGACTGATAATTTGTTGGCTGAGATTCTGTAGTAATATATGGTTTAAGACATGATGCGGACTAAGAAAAACAAAAAGTGAAAAATTCCAACATTGGACATAAGTTGAGAACAAAACAAACGAATAATACCAGGGTTTCCTTAGGGTTTAATGTAGTATCGCAAGCATCTATTGTGAAAACATGAAATCAGGAAAATCATATTATATTCGTTTACCAACCTTATCACGAATAAGGATTAGAACAGTCCCAAAAAGTATAAATAAATATTTCCAAAAACTACACCAATTAGTCAGCCGTAAGTAAGAACTGTAAGGTCTGTGTTATGGGATACTAGCGTAGCGGATTGAATACATATATTGTACATAGATAAGTATACTTATATAGAAATACATATTAAGCATCCATGACCGGAGTACAAATGCTCGTATTCGTCACACAAACATCTGCCCTCACCGGGATTCGACCCCGGGACCTCTCGAGTCCGCGACACCACGAAACCCGGCGTATAAACCCCTCGGCCACGAAGGTCGTCGACGATATATATCTACATTTTAATTTAAGCGTATAACTGTGCTTCTTATATGAGCATTTTGCTATCTGGGTGAATGCACTAAGTGAAAATAATAGCGAAGGGTATGATTGCTGCCTTGTGGGACATGGGATATTTTTTTATCTGATAGTTATTTTTTTAGTAAACATATAATTAATAATAGTAATCAACGACGTGATTGAGGAATTTAAACAACATTCGCAAAAGCTGGCCTTCAGATGGGTGACTGTAATAGAACATCTAGCTAAAGTATAGGCTGCCTATTTCGTCTATCCATCCATACTAAATAGTCCTTAATAGCCCGTGCTTCGTAAGGAGTACTTTGACATGCAAGTATACTACCGATCAGCATTAGTTATTTCTCCTTGTTGATTTGTTCTCCTTGTGACTTTGTCTTTAATCAACGCCTGCACCATAGCAGCATGTTCATTAGTATTTCATAACTAGCTTGCGCCCACGACTTCTGTGTATCATTGTCATTACAGAATGAAAAGAAAAGACTGATTTGTTTCTTAGGTTTTCAGACGGAGAAGAGACTGATGTTAAATTTAGTTTTAAGTTTAGGGAACCTTGCCAGAATCGACACCACTAGTTGGCCTAGCAGTGAACTTCGTACCGCCATACCGCCCGTGGTAGATGTGTGAAAATTAAGGGTTTTATGTATTTATTAATACCGAATCACAAAAAAAACAATAAAAAGTTTTGCTCAAAAATAATTGGGGTGGACCATCCTTTTCACTTAGGGGTATGAAAAAAAGTTAACGTTCTTTTCTCAGACCTATTCAATATACACACAAAAATTTACAAGAAACGGTCAAGCCGTTTCATAGGAGTTTTGTTAGAAAACTGTGCCACGAGATTTTTATATATTAGGATATATTATACTAATATATAAATAAATTTTGTAAATAATTATAATATATACAGGGCGTCCCACAGATTTGTTACATGGAGGGAAATTATATTAAGTATTGAAATGAGGATATTTTACTGAAACAAGACATCATTTTATTTTTGATAATAACTAGAACTGCATTCACAGATTTTTTAAAAATCGCTTTGCTACAACTGGGAATCAAGCTCGTGAAATTAAAAAAAAACACATGGTGGAATCTATGTAGCATTGGAAGGAAGTAAGAAAGCTATCGATGATGAGATCTAACCTGGCATTGACAGTGGCGAAGTGCCTAGGCCGAGGCTGAGTATCCGTCACGCGTCCTGAAGAAGCCAGACGCGCCTGTTAGCGCCACTTGGCTCAATGGTATTGGAACCATACCTGGTGGAATCTCGGTTCTGGAACCATACCTGGTGGAAAACGGAAAAATAAAGCCGAGGCCGAGATAGCGCATCCGCCACGCGTCCTGAAGAAGTTGCAGACGCGCTTGTTTGCGCCACTTGGCTCGACGGTTCTGGAACCATACCTGGTGGAATCTGTGTAGGGTAAGAAGGAAGTAAGAAAGTTAACGCTCAGGAGATTTAACCTGGCATTGGCAGTGGCGAAGTGTCTAGGCCGATGCAGTGCATCCGCCATGCGTCCTGAAGAAGTTTGCACCACTTGGCTCGATGGTTCTGAAAACATACCTGGTGGAATCCGTGTAGGATAGGAAGGAAGTAAGAAAGTTAATGCTGAGGAGATTTAACCTGGCATTGGCAGTGGCGAAGTGCCTAGGTCGAGATAGCGCATCCGCCACGCGTCCTGAAGAAGTTGCAGACGCGCTTGTTTGCGCCACTTGGCTCAAGGGTTCCGAAACCATACCTGGTGGAATCTATGTAGGATAAGAAGGAAGTAAGAAAGCTAACGATGATGAGATCTAACCTGGCATTGACAGTGGCGAAGTGCCTAGGCCGAGGCAGCGCATCCGCCACGCGTCCTGAAGAAGTTGCAGTCGTGCCTGTTTGCGCCACTTGGCTCGACGGTTCTGGAACCATACCTGGTGGAAAACGGAAAAATAAAGTCAAGAAATACAGTAATAATTTTAATTTTGTGCTTACTGCAAGAAAATCGACGTGATACATACCGTTAGCTTTACATTAGGTAAATATTTTTTTTAAACTTTTAGTTTTACCTTTATTAAGAAGTTAATTATTAGCATGAAACCAGTGACCTATTCTTTACAGGTGGTATGGTTCACATCGTCAATAAATGGTTGCTTTCGTTTAATTATAAATAAAAGTGAAGTATTATACATGTCCAAACAATACTACCTTGTATTTATGCCTTACAAAGTATGGTAAGGCATCGATATAAATTAAAAATAAGAAAGGACTAAGAATCGTTATATATTTTCAGCCATTTACAGTTCAGCGTTGAAGATTCGACGGTGATCGCGAAAGACGAGAAGACATATTAACACATATTAAGGGTAATTATACATAAACATCGAGGAGCTCAATGGCCCATGGCACAGATTAAGAGTGAATAAATACAAAGTATGTAGAACTTCGAGGAGCTCGATGGCGCAAGTGGTTAGCGCGTTCGGCTGCAATCGTTGAAGTTAAGCAACTTTCGCAGTGGTCAGTCATTGGATGGGTGACCAAAAATCTTCTATCTCGAGTTCCTCCGTGCTTCGGAAGGCACATTGGGCCGTTGATCCCGGCTGCATCGGCAGTCGTTAGCACCCGCCAATCCGCACTGGGCCCGCGTGCTGGCTCATGGCCCAATCTCTCTATTCCATCCATAGGGGAGGCCTGTGCCCCAACAGAGGGGACATTAATAGCCTGATGCTGATGATGATACATAAACATCATCATGTCATAACCCAAACAGGGTTGTAAGAGAGAAAAAGAGCGCCATACGAAACATACACACATCAAAAGTGTCTAGGGATCAACATATATTTTTGCAATAACTTTTCTCCTGATTGATATTAATTAAAATTTTCTTTAAGGATTCATCAAATAAAGTGTTTTCGTTTGTCACAGTAACGATAAACCAAGTCACCTTTGCATTAATAAAGAAATTTGCCATTTTCCTAATAAAGGGATTTTTGACATTTGAACCACTAACACAAAAGTTCGAAAAAAAGACTGAAATAACAGTTTTCTCTAAAATTTTATTGGGTAACTTAAACAATTAATAATCCGTATTTCTACCGCGAACACTAACAACACAAGAACATCGGTTTGGCATACTCAAAATGAGTTCATCCAAATCACGCTGTGGAATGGCCGCCCATGTTCGTTGCAACAACAAAAAAAGGTCTTCTTGCGACTGGATACCCTCCATATTCGGCAGAGCTCTTCTCTGTAGCATATCCCATGCATGCTCAATCGGGTTCAAGTCTGGCGACTGAGCAGGCCAGGGCAGGACATTGATGTTAGCTGCGGCGAGAGTCTGTCTTACAACTCTTGCGGTGTGCGGTCGTGCATTATCATGCATTAACTGAAATAAGGGACCGATTTGCACTTGTAGAGGAACGATGACGTCTGATACAATCGTCTCAGCATAAATTTGAGCGTTGAGGTTGCCTCTGATCCAAATCAACTCAGTTCTTCCGCCGATCCAAATACCCGCCCATACCATGATGGTTCCACCACTATAAGGATGGACTTCCTGGCAGGATTTTAATCGCTGTTGGCGTCCAGGGGTTCTCCAGTGTCGTATACGTCTTGTATCCGGTCTCATACCCTCATCTCATCTCTCATCAGAAAAGCACACGAAACGCCATTGTTCTTCTGCCCAATTTCTGTGTTCAAGAGCCCATTGATATCGAATCCTACGATTGTGCATTGCTATAGGTGGTACCCGTAGCGGTCTTCGGGAATGAAGGTTCACTTCATGCAAGCGGTTTCTGACTGTTTGGTCGCTAATTAAGTTCCCTGAAGAGTGATGAAGCCTCACGGCTAACATCATGGCGGTTATTGTTGGAGCTCTTCGAGTTAAGATTTGAATGTATCGGTCTTGTCTCCGTGTGGTGCAGCGATACCGTCCTCCATGGCGCTCAGCCACGGTACCAGTGCTTCGGTATCGTGTCCAAAGTCGACTGATAACACTCTGACTTGTATTCAGAGCTAAAGCCACAGTACGTTGCCGGGAACCAGCTTCTATCATTCCCACGGCTCTGAGCATTTCTTCCCTGCTTAAATGACGTCGCCGCTCCATAATAACGTTGGTTTTAATCAGTAGTAGGGAAACAGTAGCACTAATAATGTCTTCAATGCGTTGTATGTTTTTATAGGGAAAATATTGACAGCTGATTTTCATCTTTTACTCGAATTTGATTCACAGTTCCTGATTCAAATTATGAAATGCACCAAAAAGGATCCATATAAATTTATAAAATCATAAATTTATTACAAAGCCACATCTCAATCTCAAGAAATCCGCATAAAAATGCTTGATCCCTAGACACTTTTGATGTGTGTATATATAGAATACCCGAGCTACAAAGCTTTTCCATGCAGATCCTAAATCTTAACTTTCGATGCATGGGAGCTCCAAATGTTTTTTATACCCGTGTGATCAATAAATCAGCAGCATCAGTGATGCAGTTATTTTCGTGAGCTCCCGGAGTTTAGGTTTGTTCATTTATAATAGAGAGAGAAGTATAAAAGAGATCAAATACAATCCTATTTCTAAAAATAAGTTAGATATATTTACTTCTAAACAATTTGGTTTTACAAGGGGTCGCTCTACAACTGACGCTGGTGTTGAACTCTTCCAACATATTTATAATGCCTGGGAGTCTTCACGGGACGCTTTAGGTGTTTTCTGTGAAACATCCATGACTTTTGATTGCGTATTTCATGAAAACTCTACCAGGAAACTGCGCCACTATGGATTTAAAGGTAGCATTCTGTACCTTCATCATCATCATCATCATCAACCCATGCTCGTCCACTGTTGGACATAGGTCTCCCCCCAACTCAGGACCTTATTGTATCATATTTCATCCAGTTGTTAACATTAATGGCAAAAGATCTTCCAGTTCGCAAATAAAAATGGGTGTTCCTCAGGGTATGATTATTAAATTATTACAATTTTCAACTGTGTAGATCGTCCTGTTAGAAACTAGGGCCCGTATTATACAAAGAATCTCAGTGATTGATCTAGTATTGAGCATAGTTAGAAACTGATGTCGCTATATATAGCACATAACGATATCCCTTTCTAAGTGTAATCAAATTAAGATCAACACTTAGTTGTCATTCTGTAATACGGGCCTAAGTGTCGAAGTAAATACGATGATTCTCCATTAATTTTATTCCTTTAATACCTATATCTCTTTTATCTCGTTCCTCTTCGTACAAATTAAATGCATAGGTACTTACTTTAAAGAAGTCCGTGCTAAGTTAACGCGACATATTTTTGTTCGGAACATTGTATATTTTCATGCACGGCCGCGGCGCAGCAAATTTCCCAATCCCACCTGACCTGTCCAATCGCGAATATAGCTGATGCAACGAGCTGATGCGGCAAAACAATATGCCGCTCCAGCCACTATCTCTTTACTGCTTTACATACAATTCCCGGACCGAAGACCCACAAACCTTACTTTGCTTAGAACATACCTTACAAACCAACTATAAAAACCGAATTCATAAAAACAAATTGACCAAAAAGTAAGAAATAATACATATTTAAATCTAATAAAAAAAACCTTTAGATTTAAACTTCTAGCAGTTCAATGCTTTAAATATATATTCTATCTTCATCAGTCTATTAATGTCCCCACTGCTGGGGTACAGGCCTTCCCTATGGATGGAATAGGGAGATTGGGCCATGACCCACCACGCGGGCCCAGTGAGGATTGGTGGGTGCTAACGACTGCAGATGCAACCGGGACCAACGGCTTAACGTGCCTTCCGAAGCACGGAGGAGCTCGAGATAGTAAATTTTTGGTCACTCATCCAATGACCGACCACTATATTCTATACATATAATAAAATGGAAGGAAAATCAAAACTGTACATTGAATATTTTTTTAAAAGAATACTTGGGAAAATGATGCGATACTGAAGCCACAAATATAGTTTTTAGAATTTCTGTCTGTAAATACGGACAGTATTTATGTCCGGGGTAAACTCAAAAAGTACTGTATAGATTTACTTCAAATTTGGCACGAATAATATTATTAAGTCGGGTCAACATATAGGCTACACTTACCTTTATTTCACGCGTACGGAGTCGTCGTTGCATTGACACAAAACTGTTTGTATAAGTTATTATTCATTTACTCATTTAGTACACTACACACAATAAAACAAACAAGAAAAACATAATTCATCATCAGCCTATTAATGTCCCCACTGCTGGGGCACATGCCTTCGCTATGGATGGAATAGATTTTGAGAGATTGGGTCATGACCCACCACCGGGCCCAGTGGGGATTTGTGGACGCTAACGACTGCTTATACAGCCGGGACCAACGACTTAACGCGCCTTTTCAAGCGCGGAAGTGCTCAAGAAAAGAATTTTTTGGTCACCCAATGACTGCGAAAGTGCGCGCGCTAATCACGCCCTAATCACCTGCGCCAGCGAGATCCTCCTATCAAAACATTATTATTAATAATTAATTTATAATTATAATAAATGTTTATTTCAGGCACAATAACCCATATTCAAAATCACAATTGCAATAGGCTAGTTGACCCTTTTTGGAAAAAGGTTTTAAATGGTTAATAAATGTTCTATTAGACCGAATAAAATGTATTGTATTTTTTTGAGACCTAAAAAGCTACAAATCTTTAATTTTAAAATAGATTTTTCATGGACATACAAAAACGCTATCGGCCATTTTAGTCTATAGATTATCTATGCTATGACGTTAACTGCAGTAAACACATAGAGAAAGGTAAATAAACAAAAACTCGTAAGAAAATAACTGACTTTATAATAAACAAAAGATGATTTCTAATAAATACCCCGAAAAATAAAGTAATTATCATTATTGGGTAAAACTGTACTTTCAGGGCCTAAAAGGTGATACTTGTT